GTTTTTTCTCTCAGCCCCAGATCGAGATTGCTTCTCGAATGTCGAAATTCGGCAGGTCTTTCGACCTGCATCCAAGGTCTCTGCGGGCGACGGGGGTGCACGCGGCCTCGGATGCAGCTTCGCCTGCCATCCCACATGCAAAATGTTCCCCGCGTGCACCCCCTGATCAACTCCCCGCGTTGTCGTCCATCATCCCCTGGATCTGCTTGATGTTCCTCACGCTCGCCAGCAGCTTGTCGGAGAGATCGCTGATGATCCCGATGCTGTTGACGAGCAGGATGCGGTCGGACTCGCGGGGAGGGCGGAGGGAAAAATTGCAACATGATAGAGGAGTACAGGATCGTACGAGATGGGGATCGGGATGGGGACGGGTTCGAGTATGGATGGAGGTAGGAGGGAGGGGGAGGAGGTAGTATAAGTAGCACACCGCGGATAAGGGGCGTCGGCAGTCTGCGACAAGCGCCGATTTTTTCGTTAAAGCAATGTTGGTGGGTCGCGGGCGTGGTCGCAGTGGGTCGCGGGTGGGTGGCGGGTGGATGGTTGGTGGGTCGCGGGTGGGTCGCGGGCTGGTCGCTGGCGGATCGCGGGGTGGGTCGCGGGTGGGTCGCGGGGTGGGTCGCGGGCGGGTCGGTCGCGGATGTGTCGCGGTGGGTCGCGAGTTGGTCGCGTGCTGGGTATCGGAGGGGAACGACTACAACAAACAACAACAACAAACAACAAACAACAGCACATGACAAACAACAACGAACATCAACGAACAATAACAATCCTCACCGCAGAACCTCACTTCAGCTACGCGCGGTCCCCTCACTCCGGTTAGGGGGAGTGAGGGTGAGTTTTACAGCAAGTGCTGTCCTCCTCGAGCTGCTTCAGCGTGTCCTCGACCCCCTCCGTCATGATGTTGTTGAAGTACGCATTCTTGACCACGGCGTCCTCGAGCTCCTTGGAGTTGCTGATCAGCGAGCCGCTGACCTTCTCGTTCTTGGCCCACTTCCAGTCCGAGTCGGACTCGATCTTCTTGAGCAGCCCCTCGGACTGCTTGGTCGACGTGGTGTATGCCGTCAGCACGTCGGACGCGTACTTGATCTGGGCCTTCATCGTCGTCGGCGAGGCTTTGAGCTTGGTATCCTTGCCCCCGCGCTTGTTGACATCGGCCTTGCCCTGCTTGCCCTGCTTGCCCTTGCCCTTGCCCTTACCTTTGTCCTTGCCCTTGCCGTCCTTGCCCTTGCCGTCATTGCCCTTGCCGGCCTTGCCCTTGCCGTCCTTGCCCTTGCCGCTCTTCTCGCCGTTGATGCAGTCATCTGAGCTCGTCTCGGCCGTCGCGGGCTTGGCGATGTAGGGCATGGTCTGCTTCCCGGGCGTCTCCGCAACGTCATCTGCCAACGATCCGTGCCGCGCTCTCTTCAAGGCGGAGCCCTCCACCTGCTCTGTAGTCCAAGCGTCATGGCGTCTCTTGGCGGCCTTCTTCTTTTTGTGCCTGAACGTCAGGCGGCCGCTCTGATCAGCAATTCCTATCCATGGCGGCCCCTTCTCGATGCACCACCGCGCGATGTTGAGGCAACCCGCGATGACGCTGGGAAACCTGCCGCCCTCGGCCATGATCAGCGCGTCGAAGTTCAAGTCCTCGTATTCATCGGCCTCCTCCTCCAGGTAGGTTTCCGTCTTGCTCTTGTAGGAGACCGTCTCTTCGAATCGTTCCTGCGCCCACGCAGCTCTCCATCGCTTCTGCTCGTATTGGGACAGCCTGTGCTTGTACGTGTGGCGCTTCTCTTCTGGCCACTGCTTGTCGATCCATCTGTTGAACTTCTTGCCCGCCGAGCTCGACGCCGCGAACTCGAAGTTGTTCTCTGCAACCTCGGCGAGCAAGCTGTCCACGTCACGCACTTTCTGCAGCTTGCGCTCCCACGTGTCCTCGTGGTTCTGGTCGGCTGTGGTGATGCCGTCCTTGAACGCAGCCTCGAACATCTTCATCAGATCCTGGAAGCAAATGGCAATCTGTAATACACGGGGCGGGAGAGGGTGGAATGAGCAGGATGTTGATCCTTCAGGTCAAGAGGAGGACGAGGATGGGGGTAAAGGTGATGAGACGGAGGAGGAGGAGGAGGAGGAGGAGGAGGAGAAATGAGTTGGAGGAGAAGGAGGAGGGGGAGGAGGAGGAGAGGGAGAACGACCCATAACGATCACGGAGTACGATGGTACTCAGGATGATGAGGAGGATCTCGAGGGGGGCTCAGGAGGGGCTAGGATGGTTATCGTATGAACTGTCCTGCTCTGCGCTGGCGGCAATACCATCGACGTTGCCACCGTCGTTCTTGTCGTCGCCGCCGAGCGCCTTCATGATCATGGCGTTGCTGCGCGCATGCTGGTCCTGCCGCTTGATCTCCGTGCTGTCTGCCAGCTGCAAGCCCATCTTCGCGTACGCGTCTGAGATCTTGCCGCGGCGGTGGCCGCACGGGTCGCCCTCTCGAGGTTATGAGGAGGGGGGAGGAGGATGGTGGGGATGAGGACGAGAGGATGAGAGGAGGGGGAGGTGGAGGAGGAGGAGGAGGAGGAGGAGGAGGAGGAGGAGAAGGACGAGGAGGAGGAGGAGGAGGAGGAGGAGGAGGAGGAGGGGGAGGAGGCTCGAGGGGGAGAGCGAGGATGAGAAGGACGAGGATGGGGAGGATAAGGATGAGGAGGATGAGGAGGCGGAGGAGGATGAGAAGGATGGCTGCGGTCCTCAGACTCTGCAGCTCGGTCGGCCTCCACCTCAGCTGTAGTCTGCTGCGCGGCCACCGCGGTCTTCTCGAGCTCCGCCTCGACGGTGAGGGTAACAGGATGCAGTTCGATGAGGCTCGACGAGAGGGGGTGATGAGGAGGATTAGGCGGAGGAGGGGGATGATGAGGCGGAGGAGGAGGAGGGGGAGGGGGAGGAGGAGGAGGAGGAGGAGGAGGATGAGGAGGAGGAGGAGGAGGAGGACGAGGAGGACGAGGAGGACGAGGACGAGGACGACAATGATGATGCGGAGGGGGAGGATGAGGATCTGGAGGAGCAGTAGACCGCGCCTCTGCACGAGTTCTGATAGCGATGCGGCACGTAACGCATTTCGTCATATCAGGGGACAGCTGGACACCACAGCCTGGGCACGTCCAGGAGCCGTCGGGGCTCGCCTCCAACGTGCCAATGGTCTCCTGGCGGAGGACCGCGCCACCAACGGAGGTGATTCAACGTGTCGCTCTTCACGCGGCCAGCCGCGCACCGTGAACGACACGTTGAATTCTGCACCCCTCTGTTAGTGGCAGCGGTCCTCGTTGCCAGCCCCGTCGAGTTTATCAGGCTGCGTTGCGCTCTCCCCATCCACCAGAGTCACCTCAAGAGGCGCGCGATGCCATTCGAGTGTGAGCTGGGCGGTGTCGATTCGGGATGTGTGGGGTAACGTTGGCTCCACTCGAATGGCCTCGGCGGTGCGCTCAGCTCGACGGACGGCCAGCTCCGCCTCCATCTTAGCAACCGCGTCGGTAAGGGTCATGCGTGAGCCCCGCTCTACGCGGGTGGGTGGGGCCATGCTGCTCAGGGCCTCGAGCTCAAATATTGCAGTGTGTGGGGGCGGGGGGGGGGCATCGTTTCGACGACGGCATTGGCCACGATAAAACGCATACATATGTGTATACCTTATGTTTATATACATATATATATATATATATATATATATGCGCACACATTTAACCGTTCTCACGGGGCACATCATCAAGCCAGCGTTACGATCACGTGCACATCTTCAAGTCACCGTTGCGACCATGGGCGTACCTGGGACCTTCGGGGTAGACGTTTCGTAGGCACATCTTCAAGCCAACGTTTCGAAACGGAAATGCAATCCCGTCGTGGCGTAACTCATTTTTAAGACCTCCCCCCAAGCTAGTCGTCCATCCAGCTCGGGGCTGGCGGCTCAATGCCCGCGGCCGCGGGCTGCTCGCCCAAGCTGCGCAGCTGGCGCTTCGGCGAGGGGGTGCGGATCATCTCACTCTGCTTGCTGTTGCTGGCGGTGATCTCGCGGAGGAAGATGCGGATGAGGAGTAGGACGGGGTAGGAGTAAGAGTAGGAGTATGAGTAGGATTACGAGTAGGAGTAGTAGTGCATCTATCGTATATTGGACACATTTATATACATGTTATAAGTAGTTGTAGAGATCGACTTACATATAGGTAACATTAGCGGTATATAAAGTAGTAATAATTGTAGTAGTATTAATAGTAGTAGTCGTAATAGTAGTAGTAGCAGTAGTAGTAGTAGTAGTCGTCGTCGTCATCGCCGTAGTAGTAGTAGTAGTAGTAGTAGTAGTAGTAGTAGTAGTAGTAGTAGCAGTAGCAGTAGCAGTAGCAGTAGTAGTAGTAGTAGTAGTAGTAGTAGCAGCAGCAGTGGAGTAGGAGAAGAAAGGTGATGCCAAGCCTGCGCGATCGGCGTCTTCGTGGCCAATCGCCTCGGCGATGTTGCTGGTGCTCGTGCAGCTGCTGCAGGCCTGTGCGCGTCATCATCGTCATCAGCAGCATCTGCAGGGTGATCGGCAGCTGCTGGTCGCTTGCCCGCTGGGCGCCGCATCACTATGACCTTCTGCATGTAGTCCTCCTTGATCTGCTTGGCCTTGTATTCGTCGATGCTGCCCGACTCCAGCTGCTGGCCAATGTTCTTCGCCCACTCGAAGCCCGCCTCGTGGCTCTCAAAGTGCTCGAGGTTCATCTGCAGCAGCTGGGGGCCAGTCCCGACCTTCACGACCACCAGGTGGTCGACGTCCTTGCCGGGTTGCTTGTCATTCCGCAACTTCACCAGCACAGTCTGCCCGTCACTCTCACGTGTTCCTTGCCATCGTCGTTTGTCGCATGTTGCCTTGGCCTTTGCTTTGGCCTTTGTCGTGGCCTTTGCCTTGGCCTTTGCCTTTCCTTTGGGCGCTGGTTCGTGGCACCCTGCAGCCATCTGGTTCTTCATGATGTTCCACTTCGCCACGGTCAGCTGGTAGACCTGCCTCACTGTGCCGTCGGCGTACACCGCCTCCATCGCGTCGAAGGGCTGGGCGTCGTCGCTGGGCGGCCGCAGGTTGATCGCCCTCTCGAGGTTGTCGAAGCCATCGTCCCCCTGCAGCGTCCTGTACGCCCCGCGCGTGTCGTCGTAGCCGTACTTGTGCCCGTCGCCGTCGGTCGGGAGGTCGGCTGAGGCTGGCTTCTTAACAGGTCGTTCGTCATGATCATTATCATCATCATCATCATCAGCTCTCGATGCAGGCTTCTTCGTCGTGGCAGCATTCTCGCCAGCATCTGTGGCTCCGCCTTCATCGTCCTCGTCCTCCTCCTCATCGTAGCCCTCGCCCTCCATGGAGTCAGGCTTTGCGGCCTCGTCGTGGGCGAGCGGCCTGAGGTTCATCTTGGCGAACCACGTCGCCCACGGGCACCTCCTGCCAGGGAGCGGGACTTGTCCAGTTCGGTTCAGGCTTGTCTATAGACAAGCTTGAACCGAACTGGACAAGTCTGGACACATCTGGACATGTCTGGACGGATATGGACAAGCTTGGGCGGACCTGGGCTGGACGCCAGGACCTGGATCCAGCAGGGAGGAGGTGGAGGAGAGGGGAATACGGGGATTGAAGTCCCCCTGTCCTCTTCTCCCTGATGACGTGCTGGCAGAGCTGCCTGATGCGTGCGTCGGTGGTGCTCACCCAGTCGTCCAGCTCGTCGCCCTTCGTCAATCTATGCTTGCCCTGCTGCGTGGTGTACAGCGCCTCTCTCAGCGCTGACGGCAAGAACCCGAGTGTGTTCGTCAGGCCTTCCAGCGCGATGATCAGGGCCTGGAGTCGAGGAGGATGCGGAGGACGAGGGGAGACGGGAGAAAAACGAGGATCGAGGAGTAGCCGTAGGAATGGGACGAACAGCACATATATGAGTGGGAAGAGTTGGAGTATGAGTATAGGGGTAAGAGTGATCGTAGGAGTACCTACAGGTATAGGACAAGTAGTACTAGGAGTACAAGTAGGAGTAGGAGTATAGAGTACAAGTAGAAGTAATAGTAAGGTGGCCGAGTAGGAGTAGGAGTAGGAGTAGGAGTAGGAGTAGGAGTAGGAGTAGGAGAGGCCGAGTAGGGGTAGGATCCCGCCTTATTCTCGATCATCTTCTCCCTGTCGAGGCCAACGGCCTTGTTGCCCTTGCACCCCTTCTTCTTCGCGCTCGTGGGGTACTGGACGAAATTCACCTGGGCTGGTTTCGCGTCTCTCTATCTCTCTCTTTCTCTTTCTCTCCCTCTAGCTCTTTTTCTCCCCCTCTCGTCCTCTTCCGTCCTCCTCCTCCTCGCCCTCCTCCCTCTTCCCTCCTCCCCCTTGTCCTTTTCGCTCTCTTCTTCCTCCTCTTCCTCCTCCTTCTCCTTCTCCTAGGCTCTGCCTCCTCCTCCTCCTACTCTTCCTCCTCCTTCTCCTCCCCCTCCACTTCCTCCTCCTCCTCCTCCTTCTCCTCCTCCTCCTCCTCCTCCCCTATCTTCAGATCCTCGTCACCTTCTGGTCCACGAACGGCTGCAGCGCAGCCTGGAGTCTCCGCACATCGCGGAATTTCCGCGCGTAGGCGTCCCGCGGTGGACTGGGCGCTGGGGAGGCCATGCATGGAAACCGAGCCAGAACTGGCTAAGGCCGAGGGGACAGCGGGGGCGGGTCGAAGAGACGGCGCACGGGGTTCCCCACCAAGGCCTATTCTATTCGTTTTCAAGATAGGGCTCTCTATTGGGACTTCCTGTGACGCCATCTTATACTATACATACATACATACATACATTATACATATACATCTTTCTGTATAGATACATATGATGTCTTGTGTGTTTACACATCTATGTAAACATGAAGAATATATATGTACATATACATTTCACACACGAACTCGTAGTATACAATGTATTTTTATATATAAATGTATATTATTCACATTTCATACATTATACATACATTTAGCCATACGCAAGTAGGTGATAGCATCATCAGATTTCACCGGGTGAATTCTGAACATCTCCAGATTCGCCGGGTGAAATTCATACTAGTAGAATTTCACCGGGTGAAATGTGAGTTTCACCGGGTGAATTTTTTTCACCCGTTGATTTTTTTTTTCGCCGGACCCAGCGGGTGAAATTTTTCCACCGGAGAGTGCCTCTGGGTAGGACTGTGGGCTACGGCTACGCTGCGCATGCCCATCTAGCCTGTGGTCCGTTGTTTCGGCTTGCCCGACTCAACACAGAAGCCATGAGTTCTGGTAGCACGCCGCACTAGGTAGGCAAGATATTGGGAACTCTGTTAGGGCGACTCTAAAGTTTTTTAGAATCACGCAAATTTTCCAGTCGCCAAAAAGAAGGCGAAGGCGTTTGGGGTTAAGGTTACCCCGGCCAAGGTACTGGATCCCAGGGGCCACACCTCCATCCTTGCAGGCCTCAAGCCCGGGACTGGGACCGGGGACGGGACACCAGACCACGTGGGGAAACACAGCCGCGTTTCCCCACGTGGTTCCGGCCCCCAAACAAACGACCAAGAGAGCCCGGGGCCGGCACGGGGAAGCCGGGGCCGCCTCCGGGAGGCACCCAAAGGGCCCCCGGAGGCAGCCCCAGGACGCCGGAGCCACGTGGGGAAACACAGCCGCGTTTCCCCACATGGTTCCAGCTCCCGGCGGCACGGCCAAGACGGCACGGGGCCGCCCAGGACACGCCCGGGGCCACCCCCAGAGCGCGCCCGGGACGTCGCCAGGGGCAGCCCCGGGACACCGGACCATGTGGGGACGCGGCCGCGTTTCCCCACATGGTCCCAGCACCCGGCCGCGCGGCCAAGACGGCACGGGGCCGCCCGGGAAACGCCCGGCGCCGCCCCCGGAGCGCGCCCAGGACGTCGCCAGGGGCAGCCCCAGGACACCAGGCCACGCGGGGAAACGCAGCCGCGTTTCCCCACATGGTTCCGGCCTCCGGCTGCAAGGCCCAGACAGCCCGGGACCGCCCCCGGAGCGCCCGGGAGGCCTCTGGGGGCGCCTCCCAGACGCTCGCGCCCGCCACCTTGCAGGGCAGCCTCCCGCAGTCCAGCTTGCCGTGCTCCCTGATGTCCTGGGCGGCGGGAAGGGAGGCGGCCGCCTCCGGCGCGGCCTGGCGGGGGGCCAGGCGCCCGCGCTCACCGCCTCCTCGCTGATCGCAGGGCCACGGGGGTCGGCGAGGGAGGGCCCCCCTACAGGGCAGGCTCGCCCCTCAACCACGGGGCGGGGTCTTTCGGCATACCCGGCCCGGCCTGTCAACACTAGGGGGACCCATTTAGGCTGGGTCCAGATTGCTAAGGCGGCTACTGCGACCGCCGCAGCTTAGGTGCCTCAAGCTTTCTTGTAATACTCCGGTTACACCGCCTCCCCTTGCCGACGCCCGATGTCGGCCTACGGCGCCCCAGCCCCGCCCGCGGCTCCGATGGCCCCGCGCCCTTCGGCAGCCCGCCCAGCTGGAGGGGGCCAGACCCGACCTTGCCCGAAGGCAGGGTGCGTCGGGCACCTCATCGGCTATGGGCCCATCATGTGCAGTCGCGGCTCCCTCTGCGGCATTCGCGCGCGGCCTGCCCCGCGGGCGCGAGATCAGGGCGCGGACCGCCGAGACACCCTCGCACTCGGCCGGCACAGCGCTCACGCTGGCGGGCGCCCTGCCGCCCCCGCCCGGGCCGCCGCCACCCCAGACGCATGGTCAGACATACGGCCCTCGCTGGGAGATGCCCCACCAGCCGGCGCCGTACTGGCACGGGTGGCCTGCAGCCCCAGACGAGCGCCACGGTCAGGCTTACCCTTTCCCCGACCTCGGCACGGCTTGCCTTGGCCAACCCATGAGTGAAGCGCCGCACCAATTCGGTCGTCGCAAGAAGGGCCATGGCAAAGGGCGACCTCACCTTGGCAACCCGAGCGCGCCTGCCCGCCAGCCCTTCGGAAGTGGCGAGGGGAAAGGCGGGAAAGGCAAGGGAAAGGACAAGGCCAAGCCCATTGGGGTGCAGCCGGCCTTCCTCGATCCTGCCGCCGGCAAGGGAGGTGGCGCCGCCCCGACGCAGCCGCCCCCGGGGCACTGCCCATCAAGCCCTCTGGCGCCCGCGGAGGCGGAGGTCCAATTCTGGAAAGCCAAGGTTCCCGACACCCACCCCAAGCTCCTCAAGGCCAAGCAAGAGCTGGAAGACCTGCGGCAGTCGAGCTTCCAGCCCCTTCCACCTGCAGAACAAGCGGCGCGCCTGCGCAGGCAGATCATTTCGTCAAAGGACGTCATCCTCAAGAAAAAGGTGGCGCTCGTAGAGACGGAGACGCAGAATGACAAGCTGATCACTTCCTACTGCCAGCAGGCGGATGACATCAACACCCGGGTCGGCGGGCTGAATCAGAAAATCGCCCAGCTCAACATGGTCGAGGCCTCCACGCCGATCGCCGCCCCCGTCATCACCCTGACCTCGCAGCAGATCCTCGCGTGCTGCAAAGCTCACCCGGAAGAAGTCACGCCCTTGTCCGAGGAAGCGCTCCTCGAACGAGTTACGGCCGACCTGCGGGCACAGGCTCCCGCCTCGCAAGTCCCGTCAGTCGAGACTGCGCCAGTGGGAGCCGAGTCACGCATCAAGGGGGCGGTTGCGAACATGAACGAGGCGTCCCAAGCCCTGCAGGGGCACCTGGAGGAGGCTGGCCTCCAGGAAAGGCAGGAGGCCCCTACCCAGGCGGCGGAGGCTGCAACCCCAGAGGACCAGCAGGGCGCAGCCCCAGAGGCAGGCGAGGCAGGCGACACTGGCCCCCCTGCGGGTGGCGCGGGGGCCCCAGCTGAGGCTGCGAGCGCCCCCCAGCCAGAGGAGGGCGCGGGTGCAGGCGCGGCCCCGACGCTGGGGGTCCATGCCGACCTGACATAGTGACCGCGCTTCTGCCGTCTTCGGGCGTTGGGCCGGTCTCCATGGCCACTTTTAATGGCAATTCGTGGACCTCTATACGGGGCCGCCTGGACCCTGGGGCCCTCTCGGCACACAAAGTTTTGTTTCTCCGGGAAACCCTCCTGGATGACCCCCATTTTATTCAGCTCGCCGTTGGGCACTCTTTGCAGAAGGGCTGGAAGGCTGCGTTTAACCCAGCCGCTCGCCCCCCAGACAACCGTGCGATCGGGGGTGTCGCCATCCTCGTCCGCGCGGAGCGGGACATCGGCCTCTCCCCACTTCCAGAGGG